AGAGTGGTGATGGTTGTACAACATTGTGAATATACTGAAAGTCACTGAATTGTATACTTCAAAATGGTAAAAATGGTGAATTTTATGTTACATAAATTTCACCTCAAGTTTTTTAAAAAAACTACGCGTTATTTCAAAATGTATTTGTTGTTGGAGAGTAGTCTGTGTTGGTGTCCATGATGAAAAAAGAGAAGAGCTAGTGACTAAAAGAGATTCTATGTAACAATCTACATTTCTCATCTGAAGAGAGAAACCAGGGGTTGACTACATCAAGACTAATTTAGGATCCGGAGAAAAATGGCAATGAGAGAAATGGAAATTATAAAAAAAAGTAATGGAAATTAATAAACTAATTAGATTTATTTGAGACAAATGCTGACCCACTCCAGTGATAGTGTCAAATTTAAGCATCTAGACTAAAGGTCTTGCTTTGGTCATTCTATCAACAATGACTGTTCCTACAGACAACAGAAAAGATAAATATCTTGCTATTAGCTACTAAAAACTATTTTTTTAAACAAAGCACATGCTATTTCCATAAAATTCAATAGGAACTATAAACAAATTTTGGTTCTACCTCACCATTTTAATTAGAATCAAATCTTCAATAAGCATGTCACAAATGTAATACCCCTGGATGATAAAAAATCAGGATCAAAATATATGTAATGACTCTGCTAAATGGGGCAAAACAGAACTCTAGTAAAGAAAGAAATTTCAAAGATTAAAAGAATCTACATTAAGTGGATCATGAAAGAATTCTCATGAATTTTAATGAACAGGAGAATAAGCATTTTACAGCAATAGAATGATGAGTAATACAACAGTTAATGTAATAAGAGAAGCTTTATTTAATCTATATACCAGGAGCTGAGCAAGAAGTTTGTCTTCTTAAATTAAATTTCCCCCAAATCCCATGGTATTAAGCCTTATAGAATGCCATTTAAACAGACAACATTTATACTTGATATGTATGGTTTATAATAAAATTAAAACAATCACTTCATGGTATAACCCCATTAAAGAAAAATTTAGGAATATATTGTAAAAATAAAGGTGTGGTGTTGTAAAATTTAAAAAAACAAACAAAAAAACCTACACAAGACACGAGTTCACGCCTAGTGAATGACCAGGATGTGTAACCACTGGGACTCTCATATTGCTGGAGAGAAGGGTTAAAAGCTTCAGTAGCTTCTCATAATGTTAAACCATATTCAGTAACCATAAGATCCAGGAATTCCAAGAAAATTAAAAACATATGTCTACAAAGGACCTGAATACCAATGTTCACAACAGCATTATTCATAACAGCCCCAAACTAGAAACAACCCAAATATCCGTCACCAAGTAAATGGATAAATTGTGGTATAGTCACACAATGGACTACCACTCAACAATAAAATGGAACAAATTAATAATACATGTAGCAATGTGGATGAAGCATAAAAATGTATGTTATGCAAAATAATTCAGACCCAAAACCATTTTTATGACGTTGAAATACAGACAAAACTACTTATGATAGCAGAAGAGGGGTTATCTCTGGTGGGAAACAGGAGATTGCAACAAGGAATGAAACAGCCTGCTGAGAGAATACAAACTGTTCTATGGAGTGTAATTACATGGAGATACACACACACACACACACACATTTGTTATAACTCATCACTCTGTATTCTTAAAATGCACTTTATTGTATACAGATGATTAAGAGGATTAAATTTTTTTTAATTTAGAGGATGAGACTTCTTCAGGGTCTTAGAAAAAAACCAGTCTCACTGGAGTAACACAATGTAGGTACTCAATCAACACAGAAGAATAGAAGGAAGTGGGACAGGTGAGTAGATTGTTTTACAGTCATGGCCAAACATCAGTATGTATTCTGTATTACCCTAAAGGAATTTACAATCTGGTGCAGAATATAATATGTAACCTTTGAACCAGTTCATTATCCTTAACAGCCTCTACAGGTGCCATAGCAGCCTCCGAATTATGCTGCCTCAGGGGGATCCACTCTCAAATTTTGAATCCTCCTGTCTTGCTTATTCTCCTTTTAGACCCTTCATGTAGGTAGTGTTCAAGCACTTGACAGGCTGAATTTTCCCTGGTTTCGCAGCCATGCTCACCGGAGACACGGACTTTAATATGCTTAGCCTGCAAAACGAAGAACTTAACCTCTGAAAAACTTAGGCCCTCCAATTCACCAGGGTAATGAAAATAGAACAGAATACATTTCAGAAGATAGTATATCAACAGTTAGCAAATTAATCAAACAGAAATTACTGAAGGCCACAAATGAGCAGGAGATAAAGGCTGCATCTATACTAGGCTTGCTCTGAATATGAAAGATGAACAATTGCCAGCCAGGTGAAGAGTCAAGCAAAAGAAAAGAAAATGATAATATTACAGAAGAATGAATAAATTCACTTGTCTAGACTCTAGAATAAAAAAATGTAGATATGTCTGAGGTAGACTGAAAACAGCCAATCAATCCTCATTTAATAATCACAAAAAGTTGCTGGGTAGGCTGAGCAGATATTGTCTTCATTTACAAATGAGACAACTGTAGCATAGAAAGGTTAATACTTGCCCAAGGTCATTACACTATTTAGAAATAGAGCCACTATTGAATGAATTCATTTCTTCTTATTCACAGCTAAATGTTCATTTAATTAGATTCTTCTACTCAGTGTTTTCCTACTTTGTTTAATAAAACTCGTTAGCCAAACCTCTCACCACAAATATTCTTGAACGTAGTCTTTTTTACTTGAAGCACACCTCAATGTATACTTTAATATAAATCTTATTCTCTTAACCAATAGCCCTAATTACTGACATAATACCTAAGGAGGTTTCTATACTTACAGACCATGGACATAGGACCAAGTCCTTCTTCCGGTGGCTACTAAAAGGGTTGAGTTCCAATAATAACATTTTAAAAATTAACCCTGAGTTACATATTACCTAGGTAGATACTAACACTATCCATTAAAAGAGACTTTCTGCTTTTCTTAGCTTGGCATTATCACCTACAATGCAGGCAAGGGTGTGTCTAAAAGCAGTGGTTACAACTACGTTACTGCCCTTCCTCATTCTAGGGAATAAAGGAGGTAATTAATCTTTCACTTGAACATAAAATGGGCTTCCAGTTTTTTATTTTCTTCAATACAAACATGTTTAAATCTTCTGCATATTCTCTAAACCTTCCAAGGAGCCAATCTTCTCTTCCTATCACTGTAATTCCCTACACTGAGATTTTTTTGCAAGAGTACACCCAATCTGTTTCCACTTCAAGCCCATTGTTACCTAGTACAGCACTTACCTCAAGCCATATATTGAAATTCTCACTAAGGAAACCAACGACATCTTAAACACCAGAATCAAGGCCTATACTTCAAATCTTAGCCTTTTTGAATTCTTGAGGCTAGAGGAGCTGGTGCAGGGTTTACCACAATTACAGCACTCACTGAGCTCTCACTCTGCTAGACACTGTACTAATAAAGCTTTCAAAAATGTTCCATGTAATCCTCACAATTCTGAGAAGCATTTATTACCCCTTTTCATAGATTAAAACTGAGGCTCAAAATCACCCAAAGCCATACAGTTAATGAAGCCTGTATGACCCCAGTGTTTGCAATTCTGTCACTTTTTGACAGTAAGTTTTGTTCCCAGTTGTTTTCCTAACTCTGTGGCCTTTTCTCCTTCTCTTTCACCCCTTACTCACCCGCTGCTCATCACTATTTCTCTTACTTTACATGCTCTCCTAGGCAATTGCATCCTCCCAGGACTGTAACTACACTCTACATTCATGCTTCTCAGACTTTCAACACGTTTTATAAATATAAAAATCTTGTGCTCCTTTTGTAGTTTACATTTTGAAAATAGGTTGTTTTTCCCCAATAGAAATTTTCACATGAGTATGTTTGCTCAGACTACACCTCCTCCTGCCTCTCAAGATCTGATAATCTCTGCATCACCCCATGACTGAGGATCAATGATTGGTCTGTGTGCTGTCTCTCAATTCAATCAATCTTCCCTCTCTTTGCTGCCTCCCCTCATCCCTTCTGAGTTATAGACAAATATTACCAACTGTCTAATAAAGATAGTTCCATGGCTGTCTCCCCAGGACCTTCAACTTAAAGCCATCCACAACAAAATTCTTATTTCTCTAATCAAACCTGAACCACCTCTTTGTGTTCTCCATTGGGCAAAAGGTATCACAATCTACCCTTGTCTTTGCTTTCAGATACCTATTTTTGAAAAGGTGTTATTGGCACTAACTTCCCTTAACTACTAGGTAAAAAATCAACCATTAAACAATGAATGCCTAATATGGCCAGGAGTTAAGAAGTGCCAAGTAATACAAAATTAAATCCTCTTCTTCCTTGAGTTTTCACGCAGAAACATACCCCAAATAATTATTTTGTGAAGCTTTTTCCCGTTTACAAAACAAAAGTAATATACTTTACAAGCCATATTAATTTAATCCATGCTATAATTCCATTATTATCCCCATTTTATCGATGGAAAAACGGAGGCTCAAAGTGATTAGGTAATTTAACTAAAGTTTTACAGGCTGGTGAGTGGTCGGTCCAGACCCAAAACCTGAAGACTTGAGTTTCAAATCCCACTCTTTCTATGACTGTTGAATAAACTTCCACACAATAAAACAGGTCTGTGTAAAACCGAGGTCAACAGAGAAGCACACACAGTCAAGTACAAAAGGGGCGCTCCGGGCGGGGTCTCCTGGCCCGACCTCCTTCCTACGCACCCCTCTACCCCCGAGCCCGCCGCCTCTCTCACCACAGCAGGTCCCTCTGCGGCCTGTCTTCAGCCCGCAGGGTCCGCGGCGATCGCGGGAAAACCACACTCTGCGACTCTGGGAGCGCTAAGCAGTGGTTGTCGCCGCCTCCCGGTCCGGCCCGAAACCGAGTCCGGGCTCAGCGCAGCCGCCAAGCCTCCTGACTACTGGACAGCTGACGCATCAGAAACTAGCGTACCTGGTGGAGAAGGCAGCTGGACCACAGGCGATCCCTGCACACCAAGACGGTGGGAAAGACACTGGTGGAGGGTTCGGATGGCCTCTGGCGCTAACTGCATTCGCTACCTCTGGTCTACACCGAGGCGGTAAGGACTCTTTTGGAGAGCGCGGGGACGCCAAATAACGGGTGGAAGAGCGGGAACTTGAGGCAGAGGGCATCACCGCAGGGCGGGGCGGGGGCGGAGACAGGGCTCGTGGGGCGGAGCGCGAGGCTTGAGGAGGCGGGGCATGGAGGCGGGGCGTGCAGCGCGAGAATGCAGGCACGTGGGGGCGAGCGCCAGGCGGGGCGCGGCGCGGCGCGCGGCGTGAGAGGGGGCGGGGCGCGCGTATCGGCGCCGCGGCCGCGTGACGCGTTTTCAAATCTTCAACCGCCGCAGCCCACTCGTTTGTGCTTTCCCTCTTCCTCCTCTGCGCCCTGAACCCGGTTCCGGCTCCGGAAACCCGGCAAGCAGGGGCAGTATCTCAACTGCGTGGGTGTGGTAAGTCTGCGGAAGGGGAAAGGCGACTGGCGGGTCAACGGGCCTCGAGGAGCCTTGTTTTCTCCTCCACCCGGCACGACACCCTCTCCAGAGCCAGCATGTAGGTGCCGGGCGGCTGCCATGAACTCCGGAGCCATGAGGATCCACAGCAAAGGACATTTCCAGGGTAGGACGCCCCTCCTCCGCCTGCAGTCTCTTTAATCTTTTCCTACGCCTTGGTTCCACCATTGATTCTTTACAGATTTCCTTTGGGTCCCTCCTTCCTTTCTGGCTTGTGCGTCCTTCTCTGTGGCCTGAAGGGAAAGCTCGCTCGGTTTAGGGTTTTGCCTCAAAAAGAGAAGGGATCTCGGCCCGGCCTTCGCGCTCTCCGCGCTCCTGGCGCGGCCACCAAATTCCAGGTGGTGCCCTTGGTTGTAAAACCTGAGAACAATGTGCGGACCTGGGAGCTCGCTGGGGCTCCCACAGATGCTGCGACTCGAGTCTCAGTTTAAGAGCAGATGTGCTCGTGGCTTTTTGCTTCATGATTAAATTGGGTGATTGTGGGAAGACTTTTGGTCTTACTCTTTTATGTTCTTCACTCATAAAGTTGAAACAATGTGTATGTCAAATACGCCATTGCTGTTTTCATATAAACAAAACCAAATTTCCATTTTCAGTTCTCTTTAATCTGTATATTATGTGTGCGTATATATGATACATATACATAATAACCAATATATGGACAGATTGTGTTCAAAAAGTTAATTTTTAAAGCACTTTGGAACTCAGATCTCTTTTTAAAGGAAATAATAAAATGAATGGTGATTTGATTCCTCAAATGGCCCATTCAGTTCTTAACAGATAGACAACCTCCATGTGACACTAAACCTTGAGCAGTGAGGAATCCTTGAGGACTAGATCATACTGGGTAACATAGGTTCTTGCATTGCTAAATGTTTTAACATTTTAAGCACCAGTTTTTAGTGTTCAACAGAATGGTGAAGCTCCAGAAATGTTTGTTAAGTAAATACCCCATGAAGTTTATGTTCTAAGGAGAAAAAAATCCGTAAGGTTTTATATTGTTCCCCACCTTAATACATAAAACACAAAACGCATAACAATCCTTCAGACTCAACTACTGGCTGTAAACAATAATTATTTTACAATATAGTGTCTGTTAAAATATATAGGGTATTTTGCCATTATCCTAAGTGGTGCTACAAAGAAATATGACATATTGGTGGGATAAAGGTTTTCCACTCTGCAATATGATTATTGTATAAAGAACTATTTTTAAAACAGTAGAAATTATCTGTCTGCAAAAACATCTAATTCTAAATTTTTAAACAATAGGTGGAATCCAACTCAAAAATGAAAAAAACAGACCATCTTTGAAATCTCTGAAAACCGATAACAAACCAGAAAAGTCCAAATATAAGCCACTTTGGGGAAAGGTATTTTACATTGACTTACCTTCTGTCACCATATCTGAAAAACTGCAAAAGGACATTAAGGATCTGGGAGGGGTAAGTCAAAATCATACACTGACAAAAAAGGAAAAATTTGTAACTAGTACTTTTTAATATGTAACATTTAAATTTTTCATTTTGGGAAACTTATAACCATATAAACACCAAGCTCAAAATTTTTATCAGCTGTATGTCATTAAGGGGAAACAATCTGCTTTTAACCTTTTATAGCCTGACTAGACTTGAAGGTTTCTGTGATTATTAGTTCAGTGTAAAGCTCTCAAAGTGTGAGAAGTGAGACTCCCTTGTCCTGGTGGAACCGCCTGCTACTTGCCTTCTCAATGTAATGTTGGGATGTCTTCCAGATAGCAGGAACTCTTTGCTTATGATTATTAGGGAGCTACATAAATTTGTCTCTATTAGCATAATACGAAGAACATTACTTACAGAACAAGTAAAATCTGAGAATTAAAATTGCTCTTGAGTGATAAAATTCTCAGCAGAATGAATGTCACTAAGGTAGCAGAATTTGGAAAGCCTCCTTCTTTCTTGCCTTGTACATTAAGTAAATGATTAGGAAATCAGAAAATTTGGGTAAAATTCTAACAGCTTCTTAGGATTAGTATTAGGTAAATTTTAGCAAGTAAGGCTAAGATTTTATTAATTTATTCCCTAATCCTTCCTGCTTAAAAGGTTTGTGCTGCACTTTGAGTTTAAGGTTAACATCCTGAACAGATCCTGTTATCACTGGAATAGAAATTGGAATACAAGTAACAAATTTCTTGGAATTGTTTATTGTTGCAATATTTTATTTACCTATCTTTGAAAAGCTATTCTACTTGTTTGCTACTCATTTTCTTAAAACATTGTAACACATCTTGTCATAGTAGTAGCATATATCATAATAACCATATGACTATTCTTAAAAGTCATGTTTTATGGTCCTGCAACCATATTAAGTATAACACCTCACAAGAGTGTCTTAATTTGTTACGATACTCTTAGACATTGAGTAAAGATCCCTTCATTTTAAAAGTTAAGTACCTAAGGGTCAGGAAGAGGGTAAATGACTGGCCCAGGGTAGGATTGGCCTAATTCCCAGACAAACATGCTACTGCACCATTCTGTTCCTCTAGCAATTAACTAGTTACAAAGAGCAGCTTTCTCATATATGATGCATATCTGTTAACCCTTCTGATCTAAATCAGTGATTTTATATTTGTGCTTTTAACAGTGGAACACCTGAAACAAAGTTGTATTCAGAAGTTCAATGTGTAAAGCCAATACAAACGCTTTAGTTATAACAGCAACATAGAAGCTAATGCAGGGACTGCTAACCCCTTTGCCTTCCTCCTCTCACCCCCATCAGTTCCTGGGCACTTACAAGAAACAAACCAAAAAAAAAAAAAAAGAAAAGAAAATGTAATCCTCATCCGAGGATATGTTTATTGGTTTGAGAGAGAAACATCGATGAGAGAGAAAAATATCAATCATTTGCCTCCCTCCTGTACATGCTGCTGGACAGGGGACCAAATCTGCAACCTAGGTGTCTGTCCTGGCTGCAGATTAAACCTGCAACCTTTTGGTGTAGGGGATGATGCTCCAAACAACTGAGCCACTCAACCAGGGCAACAAAGTTTAAATTAATTTATGCATTAGATAATAGAGGCTTCTGGTTTTATACATTTCAGATTTTTGTCCTAAAAGGGTTTGAGGTTGACCAATGAAGTGAAGTGCATATTAAGGGCATAAGTTTCCAAATTTTTCCCCAAGCTGTTGACTTTCAACTAAATTTTATTAACTCGATTCCTTAATTGTTTCTTGGAAAAAAATTTTAATCAAATTCTGATCTCCCCACATACTGTCCTTCTAGTAATTCAGTGATGTCCTGATTTCTGTCCCTTGCACATTATCATGTTTATCACTAAAAGTTATTTGGCTATGAAGATCTCCTAGTAAACTATAAAGGAATTTTGACCTCTAGACACTAATTTAAGAGTTCTAGGATTCAACTTTAAATACTGTTTAGTTTAATAGGTACTCCTTGAAAAAATTAATGCTTGCTGGTTAAATTTTATGATTATTTAGCCCCTTTTGTAATTTATCTTGCTTCAGATTATTACCATCTGTGTCCTTTTTTTTATCTAGAGAGTGCACTCCTGACAAATTCAACCACTAAGAGCAGAGCAATGAAGTCTGACATAATAGGGAAATATCTTTAACTGTGGCAAGGAAAGTAACTGTTACAAAACAGTCTAAAAAGGGCATGGAACCAGCCACATTTAGGTATATGTCTAAACAGTTTGAACTAAAAGAAGGCAGTGGGAATAGAATAGAGATATAATGACAGATACCTTGCTGTAACATGAACTTGAAGACAGTTACTTATTTGATGTTCATCGTGACACTGAGTTGTCAGAAAATAACAATAGCTAGTAATTTGAAGACCATGATAAAACTAAGCACTATAGGGCATAGTATTAAGTGTTCTATTAGAGTTAAAAATGATTCTGATATCCATCTTCTTCGAGCTAGGTAGAGATGTCATGGGTACAATTAATTTTAATACAACATAGAATGTCAGGAAGAGGGAAACATAACATCCAACTGAGGACTCTTGCCATTTTGCAGCCAAAATTTGAACTCAACCTTGAGGAATGAATGATTTGGATGTGGAAATTCATTGAAAAATTATTCCGCCAGTGTCTCCCACATACCAGCACTATTTTAGATGCTGGGGGTGTAAAAATTAGAGGTACTCTAGTCCTACAGGAATTCTTATTCTATGGGAACATTGGTTTGTTAAATAAATAATATAAAGTATAACGTTATGAGTGCTTTAACAGAAATTATGTAGAAATTGACATTAGAATATAGAGATGGAAATGATTGACTGTGCCTTTAGGAATTATACCGGAGATAAAGTTTGAGTCAAATCTTGAAAGCCCACTAATATAGCAGGCAGAATGAACAAACGAAGGAGAAGAAAGAGCATATTCAAAATGTATGTGTGCTTCTTTCAAGCAACTGCTAAAATTACAATATTGCTTGAGTTTGTGCTTTAGAGGGGGAAGATGACAAGAAACAATGTTACTCTGGGGCCAAATTGTAAATGATATTTTATTTACTACTAAAGAGTTGCAATTCAAGCTACAGGAAATGGAAAACTAAAGGAAATGTGTAGTACTAGCATAAGGGCAAACATATATAGACCACTGCGAAAGATCAGAAATCAACCCTCACCTAAAGGGTCAATTGAGAGGGAAGCTGAGAATCTCTCTTACTGCTCCTCTGGGTCACATTAGCATCAGCATCATCATTACCACAGCTAACAATCAACTGAATTGGCATGGAACCATTGCACCAAAACTATGGAACACTCACCAACTAAAGATCCTGCTAGTACCTTTTTATTCTCCTTCTGCTCAATATTTATAAGCAGGTGTCCAGTATTTACTCTCTGTATAGATTTCTTTATGGGTATAATGCACATGCTTCCAACACTAGTGTTTTGACAGCAGGATTTTACTGTAGGACACACCCCCGTGTATCATCTTGGAATCACAGGATGTTGCAGTTTGGAGGGACCTCAGAGATAGATGGATCACCTAGTCCAGGGTGCTGCTGTAACAAAAGCCTCAGAAATGAAGTATGTGACATGGCCTCAGTGGCCAAGCGATGGGCAGTGAGGACACTAATGTCAAACTTTGGAAAAATGGCAGTCCTAGTTATGCAGCCAATTGCCTGCAGTGATGTAGAAGACAGTATTAATGTAGGCTCCAAGGGAAGAGACTACTATAGACTACATGTGACAAGGTGTTAGAAGAAAGATGAGCTCGTGAAACAATGGACTGGCTTTCAAATAGAAAAGAAAGGAAACACATTCCAGGAATCTGAGACCTGATAAAAGTTGATCAACGTACCACGTCTTGATTCCTAAGAGAACTGAAAAAACATTTGAGCAACCAAGACCCAAAGCAACTCAGAGAGGAAAAAGTAAGACTGATGGTATGGTACTTAATATAACTTTTCAGTTGGATATAGACTTGGGGCAAAATCCAGTGAAAGACATAGTTTTCCCACCAAAGCAGACAGTGCCGTGCAGTGGAGACATGGAGCACCATGGGGGTAAAAAAGCAAGGAAATAAAGATTGGATCTTTTTTCTAAAAGAACTATGGCTGTGCTTGCTGGCTCAGAGAATTGACTGGAAGCAGATGGTTGAGGAAGCCCTTGTTGGTTTGAAAGAGACTATTTGGGACTTAATACTTTGCAAGCAGGAAATAACAGAATCCCATGCAACCCTCTAGAACGGCACGTTCCCCAACGCTCACTTCATATTTGACCAATGAAAATGATGAAAAAGAAGAAACTTCCAGAGGTGGGACCAAAGGCAGTAGAGAACCCCAGACCCTGTTATTGACCATAGACTGCTGTATGTCTCACAGTCTCCTCCCCCTCCCCCAAACAGCGTATTTTGTGGTTGTCCTGTCCCTGTATCTTTATAGTATATTGGGTGTGGAGGGAGAAAGGTAGATAACTTGTCATTTAGTTCACAGGTCTCTGGACCACAATGACCTTCTTGACCTGATGCCGATGTTTCATATAGCACACCCTTGGAGATACTGGACTTAGAACTGGATGCAATGACTACATGGGAATTTAAATCATCCCCCTTGGAGAGGTGTTTGTTATTTTACGTGTATTCAAGGGTGTACTGTTGCACAGACATTTTCCACCCACTAAATAGTCATGTTTCCCCCACATTGCAATCTCCTTGCAATTAGTCAGTCTTATGGGCAGTTTTGGCTAATGGGCTCTGTCCAATAAGAAAGTGTTTGTCACTTCTGGGTCAAAGCATTTAGGAGCTGGTGTGTGAACTGCCAGCCTTCCCTTTGCCTGCTGTGAAGCCAGGAAGACATTTATCATGATGACAACATCAGAATAACAAAGCAATCGAGACTGCTGAATTGCCACAAGAAGAGGTGCCCAGGAGAGAGAACCAGCCTGCACTGCAGTTTGTGCATATCATCCAGAATAGACCCAGGGAGTCATCAACAGCCATGAATGACGTCTCCCAGGAGACACAAGATTGCCAATTACATTGCTAGTTAGTTCAAAGTTCTAATCTTAGAGAGTGTACCAGGGATGTGGCTTCAGCATGCTAAGCAGAGACAACCTCCCTCCATTGCAGAATCTCCTGTATAAGAAGCGTGCCTCTGGGTCTAGAAATGTCTCAGTATTTCTGACATTGAAGTTTCTTCTGAATACCTAACACTTCAAGTCTATCAGATAACACAATGGCAAGAATTGCTGATGGCCAACCAATGCTGGTCCTGCTCTAGGAACCTAAGAAGTCTGAGGGAGCCACCCCCAAGAGGGGTGTCAGGACCACAGAGAACATGACCCCAGATCAGGTCAACACAGCTGCTCTAGGTTGAGAGTCACAGTCAAATGAAGTCAAGAGCACTTCTAGAAGTCAGGCTTAGAGGGAAAGATGAGAGCAGTCCAAAGAGAAAGGTAAATGGCCAGTAAGTCAGGGTCAGAATAGAATTAAGTGTGAGCCCCTCTGAAAACTCCGGGTTGCTGGACACGTTTACATAGGACACTGAGAATCTTCACAGTTTAAAGGAGCCGAACCTTTCCCAGCCAGGGCCAAGGGACCTTACCGAGAAAGAGAAGAAGAGCACCAATGGGTAAGCACTAAGATGAAGAGCCCACAGCTGGAGAAAGCATTTGCATTCCTCTCTAACTGTTCCTGCTGCCTCAGAATCTTCAAACTTGCTCTTTCTTTAGCCTAGAAGACTTGCTTCAGGATCCACAAAGCTCCTCCCTGGCCTCGTTCAGGTCTCTGCCCCATCAATGAGGTCTTTGTCAACAATTCTGTCTAAAATAGCACCTTCTGTCTTCCTCTCATCCCAATTTATTTTTCTACATAGTTCTAGCATCCACTTGTGTATGAAATACTTATTTGCAAATATAAACCTCAAGCTCCCTGAGTCCATTGCTGTGTCCCTAGCTCTGAGCACAGTTCCTGAGAGGCTTAAGAAATACTTTTTTTGAATGAAAAAAATAACAAAAATGAAATACATAAAAATAAAGGGTCAAATGATTTTTCAGCAAGATTGCCAAGACCATTTAATAAGGAAATGATATAATCTTTTCAACAACTGAAGCTAGGAAAACTGGATATCCACTTGCAAAAGAATGAAATTTTACTCTTATCATATGTCATATGCTAAAATTAATTTAAAATGGATCAAGATCTAAACATAAGACCTAAAACTCTTAGAGGAATGTATAGGGAAAAATCTTGATGACATTGGATTTGGTGTTGATTCTTTGGACATAACACCAAAAGCACAGGCAAAAATATGAAAACATAGATAAATTGGACTTCGTAAAAATGAAAAGGTTTTGCTCGTCAAAGGGTGCTATCAAGAAGGTGAAAAGACAACTCACAGAATGTGAGAGAAAAAATTTTGCAAATCATATATCTCATAAGGGATTAGTATCCAAAATATGTAAAGAACTACAACTCAACAACAACAACCTGATCAAAAAATTAAGTGAAGGGCTTGAATAAACATTTCTCCACAGAGCTAGAAATGGCCAATAAACACATGAAAAGATGCTCAGCTTCATGAACCATTAGGGGTATAAAAGTCAAAACCACACGCAGTACTATCTCACTTCATTGGGATGGTCACTATCAAAAAGTGTTAGTGAGGATATAAGGAAATTGGAGTTCTGTGTACTTTTGGTGGGATTATAAATTGGTACAACTGCTATGGTAAATAGTATGAGGGTCCCTCAAAAAATTAAAAATAGAACTCATATAATGTCAGGCCATTCCATTTCTGCATACGTACCTAAAGGGATTGACAGCAAGGGCTTGAATATATAGTCATGTAAGGGTGGTGGTCCCCCCAAAACTGGAATTTATTTATAAAAAATTATAATTTCTTACATACTTAAATTTCAAGTCACCCTCAAAGCACTTTCCATTTGATGTAATAAACATCTTTTGAGATGTTTTTCCACGGCTCAAAACAGTTTTTGAGCTTGTTGGTTTTGATCCCTTTTAGTGCTTCTGCTGTTTTTTGTTTCACCTCTTCCACATTAGCAAACCGTTTCCCTTTGAAGATTTTTTTTCATCTGGGGAAACAAAAAAAAAAACGTTGATCAGGGTGAACTTAGGTGGCTAGGGAAGGTGGGGCATGGGGGCCAGACCGTTTTCAAGAACTGCTGTGGACAGGTGTGCTCATAAATTACCCACCATGAAATGGGCTAATCCGTTGAAAGAGTCTTCAAAAAAAAATTCAATGTAGCTGAACACAGCCTCTCACAACAACACCAGCTGGTATATTGATACAGTTGGGTTCCTAGAACACTCACTTAGTGGGAGAAGCCTATACTTAAGGGGCCTGTTAGCCAAAAGGTGGGGACAACCCAAATGTTGACAGATGAATGGAGAAAGAAAATGTGTATACATAAAATGGAATATTATTCAGCCTTGAAAAGGAATAAAATTCTTACCCATGCTAAGTAAAATAACCCAGACACAAAAGGGCAAAAACGGGATTCCACTTACATGAGATATCTACAGTAGTCAAATTCATAGAAACAGAAAGTAAAATAGAGATCGAAAGGGGATGGGAAGAATGGGGAGTTGTTTAATGTATATAGTGTGTCAGCTAGCAATGATGAAAAAGTTCTGGAAATGATACTGATGGTTACACAACATTGTAAATGTATTTAGTGCCACTGAATTTTACATCTAAAAAATTGTTAAAGTGGTAAGTTTTATATTTTATCACAGTTTTCAAAAAAATGTATAAGAAATTAGACTTTTGAAAAATTGGAAACTGGCAGTGGTAGGGCCAAAAATTTCTGAAAATGAAAATAGTTGATATGTAAAATATTCATTTATATTTCTGCTGGCCCTTGTAGGCATTTGAGTTTGTAATCATTGGAATAAATAAATGGGGATACTTAATTTATTTACTTGTTAATGAACATGTGGCTCAGCAAACAAACGGGGGCTGTGGAGTAGTGATTTGCATTTAACCTGGGAGCCACTGGCCTTAGCAGCACATTCTGTTTAATGCTTACATGAAATTAACTCGTCTATGACATACTTGCCTTCATTTTTTAAGTTATCTCTATATTTTAAGTAAGATCTCATATAATTAGATAAAGCTCTTGAAAATACTTTAGAAGTCTTTAGTATTTATTTCTACTTATTTTAACTTTCCTGCTCTTGGAATGGGAGTGATCTTTGATAATACTGACATTGGTACATGAGTTTATAAATTCAAGCATTTAAGTTGTGGTTTTCAAACATTTTAGTAGGGAAATTCTCTTCAAACTGTCTTACTCTCTTAAGGGTAAGGTTTCTCTCCTTCCTATTAGTTTAAGCCCCATGGGATGATATTATAACTTCATGATTTTTGAATTGCAGTTTAATAGGAAGTCATTAGCCTCGTGGTTATTTAAATTGAAAATTCAGTTGTTTAGTCACATTAGTTACATTTCAGATACTCAGTAGCCACATGTGGCAAGTTGCTACCATGTTGCTTAATGCTGATAAAGAACATTTCCATCATTAGGTAAATTTGGAGCATGGACTTGAATCCAAACTCCTGTGTTCAAATTCTGTTCTTTACTACTGGTATAATCTCAAGCAAGTCACCTGACTTCTCTTCAGTTTTCTTCATCACAAAATGTAGATTAGTGCCATGTGGTTGTTTTGTGGATTAAATTAATGAGGATATGTATAAAGTACTTAAAATAGTATCTGGCCCCTGCTGTTGTGTTCTTACTCGAAGTCCCATAGTACTGAGAACTCTAGGTTCAGAAGAATACTGTATAAAAAATAATTTATACCGTACTAAAATGTGTCAAATTGGCATTTTATCTGTGCATAGCATATGAAATAGTTTGATTTATATGACTTACCTAAAAATATTTTGTTTTCCTTTAGCGAGTTGAAGAATTTCTCAGCAAAGATATCAGTTATCTTATTTCAAATAAAAAGGAAGCTAAATTTGCACAAACATTTGGACGAATTTCTCCTGTACCAAGTCCAGAATCTGCATATACTGCAGAAACCACTTCACCTCATCCCAGTCATGATGGAAGCTCATTTAAGTCTCCAGAGGCAGTAAGTCTCTTAAATATGCTTTGAGACTCTCAAAGGCTTACAGACTGAGGATCTCATGATTTTTAAGGGGAGGCTGGCAGCAGAGTTCACTTACAACAATGTTTAAATTATATGTAGCTTTCCAGTCATTACAAGGTTGCTGTCTTATTTTTTTTTCCTAATAGTGCTTGTGTTGTTATATTTTGATTCTTAATATATTCCTTTGCATTTAGAGATGGATTTATTTTTTTAGAGTAATTTACAACTAAAAAGTAGCAATGGATCACTGTTTTAAAGAAGAAATGGAAATCTTTTGTTTGGTATAGAGTTGTTGAAAACTGTAGACACAGGCCATATCCAGCCTGTTACCTATTTTTTATAGCTTGCAAGCTAAACATGGTTTTTACATTTTCAAATTGGGAGAAAATTAAAAGAAGAATATTTTATGACAAGTGAAAATTATATGAAGTTCAGATTTCATTGTCCACAAATAAAGATTTATTGGTCTATATCTATTTGTCCAATACCCATTTGTTTACATATTGACTGATCACTTACTTTTTTGCAACCATTCAATATGTAAATAAATAAAAGCAGAATTGGATAGTTGGGTTAGAGACTACGTGGCCAGCAGAGTCTGAAACATGTAATATCTGGCCCTTTGTAGGATAAGTTTGCCCACCCCTTCTATAGAAAAATTATTGACATTTGATCCTCTATTCGTTGCCAATAAGTTGGAAGATAATAAAGAATAAGTTAAACTGATTTATTGAGTGTGGAGAAGGGAAGAGATTAAAAACTGAAATGTTTATCTTATTTTTAGATCAATAGGTAATTATTTTAAAATATTCTCAACTTATCTACAGTAGCCATTTGGAAAGCAAGAAAAATGGGGGCAGGGCAGCAAATGGAAGAAATGAGTTACGTAAGAGATATCACTTAAAAAAGAAACAAATACGTAGAAGAAAAAAAGTCAAAGGAGAGGAGATCAAGAAAGGCTCATACATCCTTTTAGTTGATGCTTTTTTGGAGGAACAAGATTTTACACCAGTGACTAGTTCCACATTAATTGTTCTTGGTATTTCAATTGCTTTTTCTAATGTTTATTTAAAAAGTGAAATGCCATGTAAAAACAATATCAGTTAACTATATTCTTAGATCTTCAGTTTAATGGAATGTTAAAATGTAAACTTAATATTTAATTATAGACAGTTTCAGGAGAACACAAATAAAATGTCCTAGGCTATTTTATTTTTCATATTTAATAGAATTTATTGTAGAACTGACCTGGGGTCTCAACAATGTTCAATTGAGTTTAGTTGCTTCACCAAAAAAAAAAGAAAAGAAAGAAAAGAAACAGACTTTTTAATAAGAGTGAATTTTACAAAGACCTTTAAGGAAATTGCTTTTTACTATACATTTATTTCCACTAAGTGATAGTCACTAACACTTGTACAAAGTTTATCTTTTTAAAATTTCATGTTTATATTAAAATGTACCTATAAATTTTATCTATTTACTTTAGCCATTTTATCTTTTTAACCTTTTTTCATTGAGGCACTGTGTTTAATTGTTCTCTGGTCTTTTTATAGGTGTGTTTGAGCAGAGGAAAATTATTAGTTGAAAAAGCTATCAAGGACCACGTAAGTAGGAACTTTAAAAACTCACAGTATATATTCTGTTATTAAAAACTCCAGTGGAAAACAGAGATGTTCTTGAAATTTCTTTCCTCATTTTAATAGGAAAAGCTTACATATCAGCCAGTATCTCATTTTACAAAGAACAGAATCTACTTTTCATGAAAAAGCATCTCCATCTTGTGGCCTTCTAAAGTATTACTGGAGACTTTTGAAGCTTGTAGCATTTTTGTAATTTTAAATGGATTAAGTTCTTGAAACTATAAACTCTAAGGCTACAGTGTGCGTTGATTGTCAAGATTATGGGACTATACTAAGCAGGATTGATTTTAGAAATTCCAGAAGAAAAAACTGATGCTGTCGTTGCTGTTGTGTCTATAGGGTTTGTTCATTGTTTCAAATAATTTTTAAATTCAGCTCATTTAAAGTAATAATTTCCTGAAAAACTATCCACTTTTTTTTTTTAACAGGATTTTATTCCTTCAAATAGTATATTATCAAATGCCTTATCGTGGGGAGTAAAAATTCTTCATATTGATGGTAAGGATTTTACCCTTGTTTTTTGACAATATTTCTTGTAAGTATCTATTTGTGTCTCTTGGTTCTGAACTTTACATAGTGAGAATTCTGATTGCAAGAGATACCTGATATGATAATTCTTTCATGTAAATGTAATACAGTTAAAAGAAAATATCAGTGTTTAACTTCAAAGGTAAAAATATTAATTTTAAATCTTTCTTTTAATAAAGACATTAGATACTACATTGAGCAAAAGAAAAAAGAATTGTATTTACTCAAGAAATCAAGCACTTCTGGAAGAGATGTGGTATGTTATTTTCCTCAGTTTTTAAATTAAATTGATCAAGCTTAGTTTTTGTTTACATATCTGTAGATTTTATTTTCCTTGCCAAGTAGAAAATGGTATTGTTAGGATATCCTAGGCATAAGCCTGTATACTGTGTGCATATTTCTGTTATTTGTATAAATTGATGTGTATCATTTAACCTTAGGATTTCTTCATGAGGTAAAGTTGTTCTTGGGATGGTGGCATCATTTTGTTTCTTATTTTCTTTGGTTGGTTATTTGTGAGATGTTTTTAATATAGATAATATATTCCTTTTGGGAAAATAAGTAGGAAGTATACTTACTTTTCAGCTGTTCTAGATGGTGGTATAGCAAAATCTTGTCATATGCTACGACTACCTGGCCTAACCTCAAAATATTTGTTGAACAGCTGCATTGGACTTGCACTCTGTAACTAATGTTCCCATATCTTCAGTCTCTTCCCTTTTAGTAGCTTCCTCTTTGAAGCTGCTATACATAATAGAGCTTCTTTCATTTTTTAAAACAAATGCAATAAAACCTCCCTTGCTCTACCATTCCTCCCTAACTGCTATATAATCTTTATATTATCCAAACTTTTCAAATCTCCATTTTTATACTTTTCACTCTTCAGCCTACTGACCAATTTCTAAATCATTGCCACTTTTTAAAACCAGTCATATTGGAAAGAAAAACAATTTTAAAAAAATCATATTGGCTCAATTACTGTTAATTTTCCCTTGAACTTATGGAACTTGTCTTATCTCTTAACTTTCTCATGGTTTTCTTAGCTCTCAGAGCATTATTTTGTGGTCCGCTTTTTTTTTTCCCCCCACTCAATCATTAAACGGCTAGAATCTAAAAAGGAAAATTTATGGAAACTATGTAAAGACATGAAGTCATAAGCAGGATGGCATGTTTTGGCAAATTTCTGTATTTTCATTCAAGTTGATCGTTGACAGAATGACAAGAAATGAAGCTGGAAAAATTAATAGGTTCAGATAAGAGTATAAAGGAGACTGTACAATGTATAAAGGAGTTAGATTTTATCTTGAAGGATTTGGAAAATTATAGAGAGATTATTAATGGGAGAGTAACTGGTTAGATAGGTATTTTGGAAAGACCTTCCGATTGCCAGTAAAGAATATTTGCAGGCAAGAGTATCGGACAGGGGCTATTGAACTCTCTTGAACACGATTTGCATTAAGAAACGTTTTACATCATGTCTACCTCATATATGCATGTTAAAGAAAGATTTATAAAGTCTTTGTGACTTAGGATTTTTGATCAGTTCTCATTTACATAAAATATAAATAATTTGCAGAAAGGAACAAATAATTTATTTAGTATTTAAATAAAACTGCTAATACTTTGTTTGTCTGTCTCATTTACAAGTAATAAAAAAATTTCCAGATGACTGTTTCCAAATTTTTGCAAAATCATCAGTAGATATTTCTTTATTGAAATATGCTAAATATGCTTGCTACTGCACTCTGCAGATTATTTGGATTGTACATAGAAATGTATGAAAATTTAAACTCAGGACATTTATGGATTCTGAATACATGCAAATATCCAGTATTCTGGGATGATATGTTTGTAATCAGGGGAAATGTTGAAGGCCTGCTTAAAGTAGTAACAGAAAGGGAGAGGAAGATTTCAAAGTTACTTATTAACAGGTTTCAGTGCCTAACCAGTGCGTTGAATCAAATATAAATTTCATGAAGTTAAACATCAAAATATCATACATACAGTACCCTAAAATGTAGTTTTTATCTTTTTCAACACTGGGTCTTGCTTACACATGTCACCCCCATTGTTCATTTAGTATTCAACAAATGTTCAGTCCTATTGTGTGCCAGGCATTAGGGAAAAAAATTAAAAGCTGTTTCAAATAGGTGTGAAAAGATCTTACTTTTCTACTCAAACAAAAAGGATAAGAATACCAAATCCTTTTATTAATTCAGGATGTGTAATTGGTCAGCTGGATTCCAGTACTTGCAGCGTTTTTGTTTTGTTCCCCACCCCCCCTCAGTTTATCGGCAACTTATTTTGTGGAGGATATTTTAGCGTATATGTGCTTGAGGAATATTGGCGTCTTTGGTTTTAGTGTTAGGATAATGCTGCCTTAATAAAGTGCTGGAATGTAATTCCATTTCTGTTTTCTAGACAAATTTTGATAGAATGGGTTATACTCTTTAAATATTTGGTAGAATTTACTAATACGGTTATCTGGGTGTGGAATTTGTTGCAAAATTCTCAAACATGAGTTCAGTTTATTTATTAGTGGAAACTCAGGTGGTTTATTGCTTCTTGAATACACTTTGGTAGTTTGTGCTTTTCAAGCAATTAGTACATTTTGTTAAAATTGTTGAACTGATGGAAGGAGTGTTTGAATAGTTCCTTATTAAACTTTCAATGTTTATAGGGTATATAATGGTGTCTCCTTTCTCATTTCTGGAATCATTTTTTTTCTTGGCCAACCTGGCTAGTTTTAATAATTTTACTCATTTTTTCAAAGAACTGTACTTGCTATAAATTTCCTTTTAGCTCTGTGCAAAGTTGCATCCCAAACATCTTATATTAGTTTTCTTTTTAATATACAGACTGTTTTTTAGAGCAGCCTTAGCAGACTCACAGCAAAATTGAGTAGAAGGTACAGATATTTCCCATCCACACCTTGCTTGCAGTATACACACAGCATCCCCCACTATCAACAACCTACACTGTAGTGGTACATTTGTTATTAATTGATGAATCTGTACTAAGTTATCGTCTCTCAAAGTCCATAGTTTACATTAGAGTTCACTTTTGTCTTTGGGTTTAGATAAATGTATAGTCAGGTCTACCATCAAAATATACATACAGTACCCTAAAATATAGTGTCTATGACCTAAAAAGCCTTCATGCTTCATCTGTTCATCCCTCCCTTTCCCACGTACCCTTAGCAACTACTGATCTTTGTTATTATCTCCGTAATTTCACCTTTTCCAGAATGTCAGAGAGTTGCAATCATATAGTATATTGTTTTTTATAATGGGTTTTTCATTTAATAACAGGCATTTAAAAGTTCCTTGTTGTCTTTTTATGGCTTGTTTGCTCATTCGTTTTTATCATCGAAAATTCCATTGTCTGGATGCACCATAGTTGACATGTTCACCTACCTTCCAAAAGACAACTTGGTTGCTTCCAGGTTTCAGCAGTTATGGATATAAACATCCAGGTGCAGGTTTTTGTATAGACATAAATTTTCAGCTTATTTTGGATAAATACCAAGGTTCATGATTGCTGGATCATATGATAAGAACATTTTTAGTATTGTAAGAAACTGCCAGGCTGTCTTCCAAAATGGCTATACCACTTTTCATTATATGGGGTAGGCAAAAGTAGGTTTACTGCTGTTTGCATGGAAAATGATAGAAGAATAAACTGTTTTGAGTACTCAAAACTGTAAACCTACTTTTGCCCACACCTGTATAAGGTTCCTTTGTCCCTGTTAGTATTCCTTGTTCGGAAGTCTCCTGTCTGATATGGCCACTCTATCTTCCTTTTCAGTAGTGTTTGTGTGATATAACATTTTGATTCCTTTTACATTTAACGTATCTTTTTGCGGTAATTCTGACATGAGGAACATCTTAGAGATGGTATCTGATTATCTTTTTTTCCTCAAGAATTGATCATGTTTTCCTGGTTCTTAATGTGTCCAATAGTTTTTAACTGCATATTAGACATTGTAAGTATTAATGTTGTATAGACTCCAGATCTATTATAATACCCTGGAGGAGGCTAATTTTTTTGTTGTTGCTGTCATTGTTTTAGCAGGCAATCATCCAGTTTTGTTTAAACTATCAGTTCTGTCTCAGTTTATGTATATGTTGGGTCTAATCTCAGTTTCAATTTTCAAAGACTTATATGGAGCTTTCTGTTTGTGCATCACTTATAAATTAGTCCCAGATTTGGGCAGTGGTTTGAACCTTAGTTCCAATTTTCAAAGCTCTTGCTTTGTCTTTGTTCTTAGAATATGCATCTTAGAATTATGCCTGGTCCTTATGTGGATTTATACAGGGAATTAGGAATCCCTTTCTCTAGGTTGCTCTTCTCTGTGGTTTCCCTTTCACTCTCTAGTCTGCAGGGGCCCATTTCCTACTTTCTTGAGTCAGAAAGTCAGAGTTACTCAGTTTTTTGTGCTTGTGGTACTGTTAAAATTGCAGTTTTATAACTGGGGCTCACCCAAAGGGCAAAACTGTGGGAGAAAAGAAAGAAGACATAATACAGCAATTCTCTTTGTAATCTTGGATGGCAGGATCCACTTTCCTGGTTTTTTCTAGCCATAAGGATGGGGTTTGTATAGGAGAGGCAGTTGCTGGCTTCACTAATCCCACCAACTCCGTGGCTGTAGATCCATTCTTAAGGCAGCATTGCAAAAGAAAAGATGGGGGGATAGGAAATTTTCCCCCTAAAAGATAGCCTCTCCAAGTTTTCACTTCCTTCAACAAAGTACCTGCGTTTGTTTACTTTTCAGTCTGCAGGTACTTGCTTATTTTATTCTATTCAGAGTTTTTAGTTGTACATAATTAGTGGGATTGATTGACCATATTGGATGTATTCCATTTTAACTGGAATTGATAGACTATCACAAATGTTTTAATAATTACTTTGTCCACTTTATCACAAAGGTTCTGCTAAATAAGGACATAAAAGTAATTTATATGACTATTTCTAGATTATTTCACTATCTGTACTCTATTCCTATTGGTTGATTTCTTTCTGTGAAGACAAAAATTATAGCTATAGTACAAGGTACTAGTTGGGTGTATTGTAAAAGAAAGCATTTGTATTACTAAATTCCATTCCAATGGTTAAGATCTTTAATTTTTGAATTTACCTTTCGTTTCTTTGGCTGAGTTGATTTTAAAAAGCAATTTTTTTTCATTTCACCCCACAAAACCATAATAATCAGCCTTCTTTTATATAATTATTTTCCTGTATATATACGTGGAGGGTATTGAGCACAATATCAGTTACTATTTTAACACACAGGATTTTCACTATATTAATTTTTTTTTTAGGGGAAAAGAGTAGGTATTGGCACACAGAAAACAAGAAGTAAGTATTTTGATACACTTAAATGTGTTTGGTTTGTTTTAGAAAGTAGAACATAATTTTCTTGAAAATCACATGAACAACTCTTACTCCGACTGGCTGGCTCAGTTGGTTGGAGTGTTGTCCTGTACACAAAAAGGTTGCAGATTCGATCCCTGGTCAGGGCTGTATGGGGGCCAATCAAGTGATGTTTTCTGCTCACATTGGTGTGTCTGTCTCTGTCTCTCTCCTTCCCTCCCTCCCTTCCTGTCTCTCTAAAATCAATAAATTTATATCCTTGGGTGAGGATTTTTTAAATAATTATGTAAATGACTCTTTAAATGACTTATCCAGTAGTTCTTAGCTTTTTTAAGAACCTTGTCCTCTGTGGCAATCTGTCGAAGCCTATGGACAACCCTTCCTCAGAATAATGTTTTTAAAATTATTTTTAAATTATTAAATTACTAAGAGAATCAGTTATTGAAATTCAATTCTCAGAACTTTTTAATGAAATAGTGATGTATGTGCTTTTATTACACATTAAAATCAAGCTCTAAAAGTGATTCTGATTACAATAATTTTTAAGTGATGAGCATAAATGATGCTTTGAGATACTTGTAGCAATTAATATGTTTTAATTTGTATCAAAATTACTCACACTAATAACACTACTGTGCCATGTTTCTTATACGTAAAATTGGAGGAAATACCAAATTTCAGCTAGAGGTTACTAACAATAAAAGTTGAGTTTTTTCCTGTTCCAACTCAAGAGCCTCCTGAACTCTACTCAGATCCTTTAGGGATCCTTTAGTTTAAGAATCTCAAAATGTGGACAGAGCTTCTGTTACTTTGAAGCGGGTTGACATTATTAAAAAACCTTACCTAAGACTTAAAACTTCTAATTGAAAGGAAATGGCTAATGGGTACATAGTTGCAAGTTTTTGTCTGTTTTCATTTTTTTAACCAGAGTAGTTTTGTTTAAAAAAAAAAAACAAAAAAAAACTTGGATTTGTAAGCGTATAGTATCATGTTTTGTATTATTTTCTGTATATCATGTTTTATATGTTTTCAAGCAGGTAGACTCAAGAAGCCCTTTGTAAAGGTGGAAGATGGGAGCCAGTAAGTATCTAGTTCAATTTCTATGATTTAAATACAGTATCAAAAGAGAAAAATCTAACTAAGGTATCTCTGTCAATACTGTTAGGTTCATTTATGTTAGGTTTATATTATACTAGTGTGCATGTTGCACAAATTACAGAAAGTAGCATTAATTAATTTATGCTTGAGGACTGAGTTTAGGTTTAGTATGCTATAGATAATAACTCCTTGAAATAACTAGTTTAGAACAATCATGAGACCAACTCAGTTTTTTAATATTTTCAATAACCATTCTGTGGGTAAATGCAGTACCCTATGGTTTATATCAATTACTTAACAACTGCTTCTACATTAGTAACAAAGAATTAGGTACTAGTTGGAAACACAAATTTGAGTCTAACATTTTGTTGGTAGTTTTCCTAAACTTACTCTGACATTTAATCTTAATGGAGGATAGGTCTATGTAAAGTAAGGATAACCTTAATGAAGATTAAGGGTATAAGTAAATTAAGTTGGTATGGGAGAATCAGATTTCTTTCTCTTGATGTTCCATTTACTCAGACATGTTGATTAATTACCCAATTAGGCATGTAGAGGAATTATCTTGGGCACTTGCTGAGATAATAAATGTGCGTTGAATGCTTCTGTTTATGAAATGTATTACTATGGGGGAAAAATGTAATTCAAAAATAGGCCTGGAGAAGGCACCAATAAATGGAAGAACATTCCATGTTCATGGATATGAAGACTGCATATTGTTAAGATGTCAGTACTTCCCAAAGTGGTCTACAGATTAAGTGCATTCCCTACCAAAATCATGATGACTTTTCTTTAGAAAGAAAAAAATCCATCTTAAAATTCATATGGAATCTCACAGGGCTCTGAATACCCAAAACAATCTTGAAAAGGAAGAATAAACTTGGAGGTCTGTACTTCCTGATATCAAAACATACGGTCATCAAAATAGTTTGATGCCGATGTAAGGACAGATATATAGACCAATGGGATAGAATAAAAAGCCCAGAAATAAATCTTTACATGTATAGTTAAATGATTGTTGACAAGGATGCCAAGATCATCAGTGGGGAAAGGACAGTCTTTTCAATAGATGGTGCTGAGAAAATTAGATAGCCACATGTAAAAGAATTAAGTTGGGCCCTTTATACCATAGGTAAAATTAATTCAAAATGGTTCCAAGATCTAAAATTATAAAACTGAGAAAAAACACTGGGGGAAAGCTTTATGATACTGGATTTGGTGGCGATTTCTTGGATATGACACCAAAATCATAAGTAACAAAAGATAAAAAAAATAAATTGGACTACATCAAAATTAAAAATTTCTCTGTGACAAAGGCCACAATAAAGTGAAAAGGCAACCCTTGGAATGGGAGAAGATACTTGCAAATAATACATCTAATAATCAACATCACTTATCATCCAAGACATGCAAATCATGACACTGCATTACACCTCAACCTCACACCTATTAGGATAGCAACTATCAAAAACCCCAGAAAATTACAAGTGTTGGTGAGTTTGTGGAGAAATTGGAACCCTTGTGCAGTGTTGGGGGGATTGAAAAATGGTGCAGCTGCTATGGATAAAACAGTATAGAAATTACTCAAAAAATTAAACATACCATATGATCCAGCAATTCCACTTCTGGGTATATATCCAAAAGAACTGAAAGCAGGGTCTTGAAGAGATACATGCACATACATTCACAATAGCCAAGAAGCAAAAGCAACCCAAATGTTTATTAACAGATGAATGGATAATGTGTTGTTCACATACAATGGATTATTATTCAACCTTAAAAAGGAATGAAATTCTGATACATGCTACAGCATGGAAGAACATTGAGGACATTACGCTAAGTGAAATAAAAGATTTCATGGTTCCACTTAATGAGGGTACCTAGAGTCATCAAATTCATAGAGACAGGAAGTAGAATTGTAGTTGTCAGGGATTGGTGGGAAAGGGAGAATGGGGAATTACTGTTTAATGGGTATAGAGTTTGAGTTTTGCAAGGTGAAAAGAAAGTCTGGAGATGGATAATGTTAATGGTTGCAAAACATTGAATGTATTTAATGCGACTGAACTATACACTTAAGAATAGTTAAAAGAGTAAATTTTGTTATGTGTGTTTTACCACAATGTAAACAAACTTTAATATGTTAAAAAATATCGGGTCTAGAATTATGAAGGGAAGTTTAAATGATTTCTATTGTTTATTTCAGATTCCAGATGAATTACATGATTTTGAAATACATATAAAACTTGAAACGTGTTTTCTTTTATCATAAGAATTGCATGTATTTTTCTTTTTGTTCTTTTAGACTTTATAGACCATTTTATCTTCAGCAGACCAGTATGCCTTTTATAAATTATTCTGTTCAGAAGCCTTCCAGTCCATTTGATATAGATAAGCCACCTAACATCCAAAAGCAAACTCAGGTTAAACTAAGGTTGGTTTAACCTTTAAGTAATTTTTTTAATCCTTTTAAAAAAACATTAAAATAATTCAGGTAATGCCAAGGGGGGTGGGGAGGAGGGTGTGTGTGTGTGTGTGTGTGTGTGTGTGTGTAAGAGAGAGAGAGAGACAGATCATTCATGATTTGCCTCTGTATATTTTTGTTCTTTGGCTAGATTTGAAGTCTGACTCTCTTTTAAGTATTTAGACAATGTAGACTGAGAAGGGAGCATGAAGATAATTAAAATGTGTTGTTTCTCTTAAGTGATCTGAAATATGCTCCGTAGTCATCATATGACAGATTTTGATAGGAGGGAACTATAAAATTTTAAAATTACTCCTTATTTTCGACAGTTAATTCTTTTTACCATGTATTTCCATCAGAATCCAGACAGATGGCGATAAGTATGGTGGAATCCCTATTCAACTCCAATTGAAAGAGAAGAAAAAAAAAGGATATTGTGAATGTTGCTTGCAAAAATATGAAGATCTCGAAACGGTAAATGTAATTTTTTTTATTGGGGGGGTTAATATTTCTAAAAGTATGAATAAATATCTGATTGTGGTTTATAACTTGATAAATTATTAAGTATATATTTCTTATTGATAGAATTACCTGAAATTTTAAGAATGCAAAGTGTGGAAATGTATATTTAAAAGTCATTTTTATTCATTTATTCAACAAATATTGTGCACCTACAGTGTAAGAATCACTGCTCTGGGCAAGTGGCATTGAATAAAGAGACCAATTCCCTGCCCTTGTGAAGATTACATCGTATGGAGGGGGAGGAGAAATAGGTTGAGCTGCTGTGACTCCCTGTCTTGGTAGCGTGGCCTAATGTAGTAGGTGCCCTGTAGAATCCAGTGGCACAGCCTCCTCTATCACCCAGCCTATGTACTTGAGGTGCGCCCATTGTGTAGGCTGAGTACATCCTCCTCTTGTAGATGAGTCTTGGTTGCTTTTGGCAGATCAATAGGAGGGATTTACCCAGGCTAGTAAGCTACAAGGATTGGCTGTAACCACCTACCACCAACCTCCCTCCTCTGTGGAGGATCAGCTGTGCAGAGGCAAGGTGTTAGTGCTCTGACATGGTCTGCAGCTGTCCACTGGGCATACAGCCCTGGGGTTTCCTAGGTGATACGGGCCAAGGTCAGCCCCCAACCTGTGTTTTGCCCGGGGCCACCCTGCCTGGGTTATAAAGCAATGCGAGATGGTACTTGTGCTGGGCTTGGAGATTCCCAGGTGAAGCCAAACTGTGGATATTGACCGGCTGCTACTGGGGCCACTTAGCAAGAGTTATGGGGGCTGGGGCCTCACTGAGGTCAGCTGTTGCTTGTTTGAAAGGATTTAGGAAGTTGTGAAGCATGAGCCAAGGTCATCCATTCACATGGAGAAGTCTCTCTTAACAGCTTGTGTGACCCTGTAAGTTGAGCGGGACTTGGAGTCTCAGGGGATCTTCAGGGCAGTTGATAGAGTCTCAGGATAAGGCACCCGCCTGCCAGACCTGTGGGTCTCTGTGGGGAGGGTTCAGAAAAAGGTCCATGGCCTTTCTGTCTGGGAGAAAGCTGTCCCCTGGCTCTTGCCTTACTGCCAAATCCTTCGCTTTCTCCCTGTATGCCAAAGGTGCTACCATGGGGCTGGAGCTCAGAGGGAGTGAGTCTGAGTAGATGAGTCCTTGTGTGGGTTCTTTAACAGGAACCTTTTGGGACCCCCGAATTTTCTCCCTCCCACTGTGTCCCTCCTGTCTTCTTTGAAACCAGAAATTATGGGGACTTACCTTCCAACACTGGAACCCTGAGGTGGGGGACCTGGTGTGATGCTGGGATTCCTCTCTCCTGAGATAGCCCTCCTGAATTTTTATCCATCACAGGTGGATGTGGGACCAGCCAGCTCCCTGTAAACAGATAACATAAATGTACAAAACATGTGTTGACTGTTTACATTGGTAAGACTTCTGGTCAACAGTAGGCTTTTGGTATCTTAAGGGAGTCGAAGTTATACTTGGATTTTCGACTTCGCAGGGGTTTGGTGCCCCTAAACCCCAAGTTATTTAAAGGTCAACTCTACTGTGTTTTTTTGTGACAATGGGAGAATTTAACTTTTGGAAATACAATCAAACCGTCAAGTTAAAATTATATGAAACTAGAGAAACAGAAGTGAGGTTCTTCCATGATTGTCTTGATACAGACATTTAGCTAGGGCTCCTGGTTAGCTGACAGACAAATGATAGAATTAGCTGGAGATTCCACCTAATCAGAAGGAACTTTGTTTCCTGTGAGTTTTATTCTAATACACTGACCTCGTTTACTTTTGTTCTTGACCACTCTTAGGATTGAGAATAACTTCTTTTTATTCTCCATTATATATAAGCACTGGGTAATAGAATCATTTGTTTATTTGCAAATGTGTTCCTCAGTTATGAATCTTTTTTTATAAATACAGTGTTCATTGTACTTTGTGTGTTCCTTATAGCTTCTTGTTTTGGTTTCATGCATGTTAAATTACAACATTTCTTTCACCGAATATTTTATAAGCCCTACCTTTCTTAGGGAAATTGTGTAAGGATAAAATAAAGTAGTAAAAGGAAAAGTGTTTTAAAAAACATTAGCACACTATAAATGTTAACTGTTTTTTTCTGTCTTTATCTTCATTTTCTGATAATAGCTCATTTGTTTTCAGTTAGGTTGACCCTTGAACAAACGTGTTTGAACTGCACCAGTCCACTGAAATATGTGGATTGTTTTCAAGAAATACCTGTACTATTTTTAATCCAAAATTGAGAGTCTTTGGGTGCTGAGGGGTAACTGTATGCATTGATCTATGGCACTTTTATATAGGAAACTTGAGCCTTTTCGGATTTTGGTACTTGCACGGGGTCATGGACCCAATATCCTGTAGATGCAGAGGGACAGCCGATGTAGTTTTATGTTGATTTTTCAACTACGTACGAGTTAGTTTCCTGAACCCTTCTGTTGTTCAAAGGGTCAACTGTAGTTTGGTGGTTTCTTAGAAGTTACTTTTATTTTACTTCTTAACATCCTTTGAGGTTCTAGTAAAAGGTTTGGAGTAGTTATTAAAAACCTAGTTTTAGGGGCAAATGAACAGAAAAGTATCTTTTGGTTTAAAAATATAATTTTATGACTTACATGCTTTTTTGTTTTGTTTCAGCATCTCCTAACTGAGCCACACAGAAACTTTGCACAGAGTAATCACTATCAAGTTGTTGATGATATCATATCTAAGTTAGTGTTTGACTTTGTGGAATATGAAAAGGGCATGCCTAAGAAGAAAAGGTAATTTATCCATCTAAATTTTAAGTTTTACTAGAATATTAAACTATTTTATTAAGCTAAAATTCAATCTAAAGTTTGCTATTCTTAGAAAGATATGTATTTTGAGGATGTAGAACTGATTACTTCCTCTCTTCTCTCTACTACCAAAAGTGCTCACTTACCTTCAGATTACTTTGAAGGTCCTCTTTTTAACATTGTAGTCTAGAGGAGGTTTTTTTTTTTTAATTAAAAAACTAGGTAGTAAATATTTTAGGCTTTGAGAACCTGAGAACCTTGAGACTCCGATTCCGCTTTACCATTGTACAGTGAAAGCAGCCACAGACATTATGTAAATGAATGGATGTGGCTATAGTTGCGATGAAACTTTATTTAGAAAACAGCACACTAGATTTAGCCTATGTGCTATATAGTTTGTCATCCCTTATTAAATCATGAAGTTTACCATCTACTTGGACTAAATAAGCTAGAATTTATATAAATCTTAAGTTTTAAGAAGCCTTCGCCCACTTACCCTCTATTAAGTCTTGCCTATACTTTACTAAATGTTTCTCCTCAATCTGCAGCAAAATTCTGAACTAGTACTTATATATAAGTAGGTATTCCTTAAATCAGTTATGTTATTATCTGTACAATTTTAATCTTTGTGGGTAAGTCACCTAAACATCTCTAAACTTTAAAGGAGAGGGGTGGTATTCGACTAATGTTTTTATATTTTTTATCTTCCATTTGTTCAAGAGGAATCTTAAATGAAAGTTAAACAAAATAAATATAAAAGGAACCATTCTGATTTTGAAGGGGGAGGTAGAATTCTGTATATCCCTGTGTAATCTGTGACATGTATATCATAAAACATTTGTAAACTGTTTAGTTTCTTCCTACATATGTATAATTTAGGATTGTCTAATATAAATTGGCATGCCAAGGTTACCAGTAGGCTCCATTTGTCATCTCTGGACATATAAAAATACTTGCTATGGTTTTAGATATTTTAAACTTAAATATAAATAAAGAGATACATGTTTCTGCCTTAGGTTTCTCAATAAATACTCATTTCTACATCGCTAACTAAAAAAGACAGCATTAATATTCGGATCATAGAAGTTGTGAAATTTTTCAGGATAATGAAAAATTTAGGAAGAGATCCAATTTCTTTACTGTTATTTTTCCTTGATTCATATGATTAAAATAGTTTTTAAACACCAAATTCAAGATACTGGTTACTTCTGGACAGAAGGGAAGATTGTGGATTGGAAGGGGTGTATACTAAGAGCTTTCAGCTGCATCTGTAAAGTTTTTATTACCTTAAAAACATCTAAAGTAAATTTGGCCGAATGCTAGGATTTCTGTATTTTTGTAATACTGACTTAGTTAAAAAAGTTTCATAAGTAGTTCTGAAAGATTTTTACTAATTTAATTTTTAACTACTCAGAAATTTTTGATAGCAATTATTTTTACTTATTTTTCTTCTTTTCTATAAAGATTAAAATGCAGCGTTGGATCTTTTTCTCCTATTACTGCAAATATCCTGAAAAAGCCTGAACCAAAAGAAAAGCTAGAACTGCAACTTATCTCTCAGAAAGACTTCAGGGAAAATAATACACAGGTGATCGAGCAGAGTTTTCAACATAAAGAAACCCAGCAACCTGAAGAAAAGTGTGCGTTCATTTCAGAGCACATCACTTACCCTTCAAATGAAACGAGAGGACTTGATGAGAAAACAGCTAATAAATGTTCTATGATAAATCCAGCTGACAGTGACACAGAACACAATTTTACACATCTACCTCCAGATAAAAATGAACAAGGATGCATTCTTGATATTTCTAAACATAAATTAATTATAAATGAAAAGGACTTGGAAGAAGTAAGAACAGATCACAGTCCATGTAAGCTACAGACATCTATACAAGTTTCTGATTTCAGTATGGATAATGGTACATCTCAGCCAAAACAGAAGTCAGATACCGTGCTGTTTCCAGCAAAGGATCTGAAGGAAAAAGACCTTCTTTCAATATTTGGTCATGATTCTGGTCTGTTAGCAGTAAGTAGTTCACGGGAGCACCTTCCTATTCAGGTAAATACTCCATCCCAAAGTCATCCTGAGGAACCCAATGAATATGACATCAAGAGTAAGAATAGCTTACCCTCTGGTAAAATCTGCCGGAAAGTGAAAATATTGTTAGGAAGAAATAAAAAAGAAAATCTGGAACCAAATGTAGAATTAGATAAAGAAAGAACTGAATGTCTTACTATACAAGAGGAAGACAGAATTTGTAGTTCACAGTCTCTACTGGACTTATTTCAGACTAGTGAAGAGAAGTCAGAATTTTTGGGTTTTACAAGCTATACCGAAAATGGTAGTATATGTGATGTTTTTCATGTTTGGGGGGAGGAAGATTCAAATAGTCTGTTGTCAGTGTTTTCGTCTTCCCCTTCAACTTCTACATTTACTGGCTTTTAGGCTTTAAAAAAATAAACACTTTTCAAATGTGATAAAGATCATATTCTTGAAATTTTTATAAATGTGTATAAAAATTATTGGGTGTCTTTTTGCCAACTTGTTTACAGAACCAAATGTTAACAATAAAGGCGATGTTTGCATTTTTCTACAGAACTGAATACATATTATAGAAAAATTGTAGAATAAACTTATGACTCATTTTACATAACTGGGTTGATCATTTTCTAAGAATTATGAATAAGTGCTTTATGATACTGAAAACTAATTTCAAGTGAAATTTTGAGACTATTAAAATTTACCACTATAAATTTAGATACTCTGTTATATCTGTTGTCTATTAAAATAGAGTCCCATGATAACATGAAAGTATTACTTTTAAAAATCTAAATTTCATACAGAAAGGAGCAAAATACAAATTTCTATGTTGGGTTCTAGAAATCACTATTACCAGAAACATTGACTTAGTTGGACCATGCTAGTTGGCACATATGGATTAGGTTATTTGTAGGTTAGTAAAGTAATAGCCATGAAGGAGAACAACCAGGCTACTAAATGGAATAAAATAATTTTTCCACTGTTCTTAATTAGTTACCTTTGGAAATAATTTCTTCCAAAAACAACTCTATTCCATAATTGGGTATCAGGAAATAAAAGGGGAAGGAAGGCATTGAACATAGATTTTGAAACAAGAGAATTGCCTTTGATCAGGCACTTGGTCATTCAATAATTAAAGAAAATCCAAATATAAGAAAAATTTCAACTCTTATCTATAGGTGGTGGAGGCATTTGCCTTTGAACATGTGCTTACAAGAGTCAGGCATTTACACCTAAGTTTTTCACAATACAAATTGGTGCCATTGAGTATTACATGAATGCAGTGTCACTATAAGCTGATACCAATCTTAATTTTTTGAAATTTTATATGGCTTCCATTCATGTGCTTTCCATCATGTGATGTGTATACTACTTTGACCATTTGGACAATATCAGTGAGAAATACTCAATTTTTAAAAACTTTGTCATTCATACCAGTAGAGGATCACTGAAATACCCTTTACATTGCGTACATGCAAACCTCATTTCCATTGGAAATTATTATTGTAGCATTTTCAGTCAGTCACAGATTCATATGTGTACATGTATACAAAGAGTATTTAAATTTGTTCTACAATCCTTAGACTTTAGAGTGACAGTTTCTCCAATCTGCAATGGCACTGTTTGCCCCCACAATGGTTTGGAATTATTTTGCCTTAAATTGCATTTAATAAGGAGAAAAAGGCTCATATTGAACCCTTCCAGTCATTAAAAGATATTAAACTTTATTCAGACACTATTTTTGAACTATTATCTTGAACACTGGACTTTGAAAAACATCCTTGCCAACCCTCATGCCCCCTGCCCCAAACCTTCATAATGAGTATTATACTTCTTTAAAAATGCTTACAATTCCGTTTATTTGGACAGTGCTATAAATTGTACCAGGACCACCACTTAGAGTTTGTATGGGTCTGCAGCAGGTAGTGTACCCTGGCAATAAGGTTGCAGTCACATAGAGGTAGGAATACTTTGTCCTCACTTATATCTAGGAAAGACCACCTACTCAAGGTGCCTTTGAGACTGTCTATGCAGAGGGGGTATTTAATTCTCTAAATACTTAGTTGTGTGGTTTCCAGATTGGTTCACAAAAGGACACTTTGATGTAGCAAAGCACCTTCAGAAATACAAGTCTTCAAAGATCCTCAGTGGGGTGGATAGAAAACTCTTGGTTTGCTTAATAGAAAGTGACATGTTTTGCCCAAAGTGTCTAACAAATCCCAACAAGCACATGATAAATTGAATTCTTTGATATCAATAGCACTGAAATTGAAAGATGTTAGGAAAGAAAAAAAGCACCCTAATCACTTTAAGCCAAGGGCCACAGTCAGTGTGTAGCATTCAAATTCAGTGCCTGTATCCATCCAGGAATAGCCAGAAACAGCTGAAGGGAAGATGATGTGGTTTTGTGACTCAAAATGTTTATTTTTCTAAGATGACAATCAATTGTGGTAAAAGGTGTATTTTATACAAGTCAATAGAATCTTTTAAATGGTCTTTGAATGTTTGCCTGCACAAATTAGTGTATCAAAATTATGGAGCCATATATACATGTTAGTAATTCCAATGTGTGTGTGTTGTAAAGAACCCTGGTAAATGTCAATACAAAATATACCTTTAAAGAGGAACAAAACAAAGGATTGCATGTGTAAAACTTTCACAAAACCATTGAGCTAGAATCCTTATTTCCAGATATATGGGGTTATTTTATGTTATCAGCTGAGAATTGAGGTGTTTATTTTTAAAACTCTTTGGTGCTAGAATAGATGCATAGTTAATGCTAGACTGCTATCTAAAGAATATATTAAAATAAACATTTAAGTATCCATTTTTATAAGTGTAGGTTTGATTGATGTGAGATCAAACAAAGTTTTATCTTCAATTAGGAATCTTCCCAGTGCTGGGTTTCTTTAACAGTGGTATTTAAGGACAGTAAGCCTCTTACAGAAGAGGGACAGGTTTTTAAGTATAGTAATGAATGTAAACTAAAGCCTTGCTGGGCTATCTGGATCTTAAACCATGGGCTCATTTGCCATGTTACAAGGTTTGAAAGAATACTGGCCACTGAGTAGATTGCTTAAGAAATTTAATTGGGCCCAAATTACCTTAGGTAACAGCCACTATAGTCTTGTTGGCATTGAAGTGGGCTATTACCAATAATACAACACACGAACCATGTGCTGTAATTCCATTAGTTGCCATGGAAAGTGGGAGTGGAGACGGGAGAAAGAATGCATAGTACAAAAATAGATCAAGTGAAAGGGCAGTTTAGCCTTTTAGCTGTATCACTTATAGGGAATGGTTAATGATTTTACATAAAAAAGTGGTACGGCACCCTTGATCCCACAAATTCCAATCAAGAAGTTGCTCAGTGTACTTAGCAGCAGTATGCCCACCTATTTACCTGGGCAAATTAGTGCACAACTAAGGTTAAAAATCAGAATTTAGGCCCTTGCAAACAAGACTGTTAATCAGCATTAATTTTGTAGGCAGTATTACAGGGAAGTAGCCTCCTTAAAATCCCATGCCACCCATCCTCTACCCACCCCCCCAAAAAAAAACTAGGAAGAGCTCTGAGCAATTAGATGCAAAAATGATATGTTAGCAAAATGTATTAAGGAAGAAACCAATAAGACAATTTTGAAAACTGGGAGGATAGGGTATGACCAAAAGAGATTTGGGCAGTAAGAAGAAACCAAGAACAAGATTAAGACATAGACAAACACAGCCATATCTACTGAAGGAAGTCGCAATTCCTTCATGAAATAATGTCAAGTATCAAAGTTCTAGTATATTAGTTTATTTTACTTGTGCTTAAATGTGTGGTAAATTGCATTTGCCTTTTGTATTGTAGTGTATGTTCAGTTGTCATCAATGTTCTTGCTGACTTCAAATCTCAAATGCTTACATGGTTATTAGAAGTAGGTGAAGCCTGTCAAATTATCATAGTTAACAAAACCAAGAAGGCAACGTCCACGGAAGTTTCTTTATAAAAAGCTTTATTTTTGCTTGTTTTTAAAAATCACACCAGCAAAAATTGTTATGTAATACGCATATGCTACTCTATAAAATGTATGTTTATATACATTTTAAGCACATATAAGAAAGTTTTAAAGGATAAAATAAATACATGCAGTATTTTTGAAATGTTTTATTTTACTGATGGTATCAAAACCTTTTTGCTCTCACCACTGCCCCCCCTAAAAAATGTCATTAAAATATTTTACAAATACTTAAAGGAACTGGATAAAGTAACTAGGTGGCTAGGTGTTTATGCTCTCATTAAAAATTGTTTTTAGTTTAATACTTTGTGAACATTCAGTTTATTTACATTTGGTTTTTACTATTGTCATTGCTCAAAACAAAAGCATATACCTAAATCCTAAAGGAAGAATTGCATCATTAGCTCTTTGCTAAAACATAATAATTTTCCAGTCCCATTCCCCCAAGCATGCCAAATTTTCATTAAAATGTACCTAGTAAATTTCTATATTTCTGAGGTCAATCAGCTCGTTTTTAATTAGAAGGTATTGACACATTATTTTCAAAATAAACACACAACATGAACAAGTCCATTTTCAAAATGGTCTCATCATGACCATTTCAAAAGCAGTTTGTTTTCTTATTGTTAACAAATACCTCTAACTTCAAAGGGATAAATTAAGTGACTTTTTTTCCCAAATACTCTTGAGACTTCCCAAAACCTAAGTTGTATGTAGTAGAAATTCTAGAAAATCTTTTTCCTTTCCCTGTTTTAGCATTTTCAAACTGTATAAAAATTATAATTGACAATTACTATATTTTGCTGTGTATAATGCACACTTTTTGCCCAAATTTTTGAGGGGAAAATAAGGATACACATTATACATGGGGTATAATAATCCCATGTATAATGTGCACAAAAACGTGGGTGAGCACTATATACAGCATAATATGGTAGCCACAAAAGCTGCAAGCTCCTTGAAGACCTCCTTGTGATTCATCACTGGTTCAGTTCCCACAGGAAGTGGATTCATGATGAAGTTTAATATGCAGGATGTTTCTAAAAAGTGCCTTTGGGCATCCGTTGACCCCATGTGGTGGAAGCTTTTTCGAGTTGCTAGGTGAAGATAACTAAGTCATTGAATGTGGGCCATTCCAGGAAGGAGCATTAACTGGGCAATAAGGCTTTGCAGCTGAGAATCCTTGAAGGACTGACAGCTGAAAGCTGTCTACTGCCAGTACTCCCAGCAGGTGTTCCAGGAGCAGCAATTTCTTATTAAAGAGGGATAGGGTCGATAATCCCTCCCCGGAGGGTGACTTGACTTATTCTCTTGGCAAAAGGAATGCAAAGTAGCCATGCAGTAGTTACAGCTTATAGTTCAGGAGTTGTCCAGATGGGAAGCAAAAATCCTGAGAGGGTCACAAGACTAACGAC